CTTTCAAACTGGACAGTTAACTGTTGCTGAATCATTATTGCTGACGAAATTATCTCACTGAATTCAGCGCTGCTTGCGATGGGTTGACAGCTTCCCAGGCGTTCGATTTGCAAACCATTCACTTTGTTGGTCTAAATAGAGAGAATCCGTTTCTAAAGCCCTGATAAATTACCCAGACAAACAATGGATAAATGAGCCAAAGCGTATTGATCAACTGACTTATTGGAGCATGTCAAAAGCACAATGCAAATAGATGCAATTTACACAGCTTTGATATGTGAAATATAGGTTGTTTTCATTTAAACCTTTTATGAAATTGAAGTCACCTAAAGGGCAGTTTATAATTCATTTGTTGTGATGGGTTTATCAATCAATAACTACCAAACTGGGTAACAGCAAGCACAGGAAATCATCTGTACAAATACTATTGCAGCTGATTATTCAGATAGGAATGACTTTCCACGAACATCAGAAGTAGCTTGTAACACGACACCAGCATGAAACCTTAATCCTACCAGCAGAGGAAATAAGGGGGAGAAATTTGATGCTTTAAGAGCTTCTCTGCACCCTGATGGGATTTGGATTTAGCTTTGCTCTATAAATCTCCAGCAGGACCTGCAGCAGGATGGCTGCTAGTGGCAAGCACTGCTTTGAACCCTTAAGTGTTTGTATGTGAATATAAAATGAGTGTAATTAGATAAAGGTGAAAGGCAGCGTGGGCCCAGACAATTAAGCCCAACACCTTTGGGGCTTAATGCACTGCATACCTGTGTGGTCTAAAGTTTCTGTGTTGCATCTCTATCAATCTGTCCACTTCAGCTGTTTGAATAAACCTTAAAGCTGTTTATAGTGGTTAAGACAGATACCATATCCTGTGATGCAAAGTCCATGGTTTGATTCTGGCTGGGTACAAATGACCCCAAAATACTACAAAAAGCATCCTAATGAGTGGACTGTCCACATTCCTTTTCAGAAATTTAAACCAAAGGACTGTATTACACCACACGGAATTTTACTTTACTTTATTGAGATTTCTTCAAATGGTCAATTTATATCCATTTCCCACTAAATTCAGGCAGCATATTTGGTATCTTTGGAGATTTCACAATCTCAATAAGAATTTAAAATAAAGATCTAAATGTTTGAACAAGGCTGCACAGTACAATTATGGCTCAGTGAGGTTTGACTGGTTAATGTATAGTATGATTAAGTATTGTTAATGCACTGTAAAATGTTGTTGTGTCTGTCGCTATATTGTAACTTATCACGCCAAGTAAAGTTTATTTGCCCGATAAATAAATTAAAAAAGACTCATATCTGCATGGAGAAAATCGATAGACTCATGGACATAGCCAGGATTTTAGAAGTACTGAGATCACGGGTCCATGTCATTACCATTGCATGTTTTATAATGAATTATCTAACTGGAGGAATATCTGTCAGTCTGTGTGTCTCTCTCTGTCTGTCTGTTTTTCGATTTTCTTGACAACCGCTCATCCGTTTTGACTTCAAACTTGTGCAGCGTCAACTGTGAAGTTTTTTTGGATGAGCCATTGTTGAGAATATCGACAGACAGAAAGACAGAGATTTCTCCATCATGGATACCATGGTAACAGCGAGTTACCATGGTCACCGTAGAAAGAAGGAACCAGAACTGCGGAACTTTGGAACTCTGATCATCATTTCAGACCTTTCAACAGGTGACACACCAATCTGAGAGATAGAAATCTTTGAACAGACACGACAAAACACCACTGATAGTATCAACTATGGCCTTTAGATGGATTCTATCAGCCTTTAGGTCCAAAAAGTGGGCAGTGGAGCTGGAGGACCATGACATAGCAATCGAGGCTCCAGGCACCCAGGTCGAGGTATTGAAGGCTCGCCTCCAGAAAGCAGAGCAACATATTACCTGTCAGGAAGAGAAGGTCAGTGAGCTCTCTACCAGGCTGGAGACAGAGACTAATCAGCTCAAGTCTCTGTCAAAACAGGGAGGTTATCTTATCACTGAGATCCAGATGAAACTGAGTGAGAAGATGCAGCAACAAAAAGACACCCATTAACAGCAACTGCCCCTGGATCAAGTGCTGATCCTGGGCTGAGGAGTGAGTAGGATGCCCTCCATCAGGAATTGGAGGGCCTCAAGGCAGAACTGTGGGAACTGACCTCAACCAACCTCAAGCTTGTGACCAAGGAAGAGGTCAGTCAGGCCCTCCAAAGAGCAACTACCCAGCTGAAGGAAGAGCTGAAGTCCACAACCAACTTAGACTCGTGCATTTCAGCAGCTCAGTAGCTTTCACCATTAACAGCTGTGTGCCGCAGGTCAACACGATGGCCCCTGAGATAGCTGAATAAATCCGGCTCATACTTGGGCCACATTCTTGTGTTTCTTCTGGCCCAGTATACGGTTCCAGGGCCTGAATCTGGGCCATATTCTGCATGATTGTCAGATGCAGCCTCCACATCTGGGCCAATTCTGGCGCACACAGAGAAAATATTCCGGCTGTCAGCCAACACCAGAGGATAACAGCCGGAATCTGCCCAGATGTGGAAGTATATGGGCCAGACTCGGACCAAGGACCCAGGAACATCTTAGGCGAGAAAATTCATTTTGCTATCTGGGCCAGTGGTTAGCACTGCGGATGGACCAGCTGGACTCTTGCCCAGCTGATTGTCAGCATGGGTTTCCTCCTTTGGTTTCCTCCCACACTATGATTGAGGTGAATTGGACATTCTAAAATCCCCCAATAAATCAGCTTTAAAAAATCAATACAAAAAGTTTTGCCTTGTAGCTGTATTTTGTAGTAGTGTGAGGTTGTTAAGCGGTATAACATACAATACTTAATGATCGATGTTTAAAGGTAGGCCCTGCACACTGCCTTTTTAATCTTATATCCACGTCAGAAATGTACCCAAAAGTCTATTGCACACCATTATTTTTCGCACACTGTTTCCAGACTGAACGTGCCCTTGTTGGCTGTTTTTAGAGTCCCGCCCTCACAACCTCGGGCTGAGCCTGGCCCATATAGTTCTGTATCTGGGCTGATTCCGGGTGTTATCCTCCAGTGTTGACTGACTGAGCCAGGAAAGTTTTCTGTGTGTGCGCCAGAATTGGACCAGATGTGGAAGTAGCAGCTGACAATAATGCAGAATATGGGCCAGATTCAGAAGGAGAAACACAATGTGGCCCAAGTATTCACCAGAATAATTTTGCTACCTGGGCTGCAAGCTATTATTGCTCAGAAATGTACTAAACACAGCAAAATAGGGCACGGTCTCTGCAGATAAATATATTACCACACACCTCTAATTTATTTAATCAACCAGTCATTAAAATAAATGTAAATTTTAAGATCTGACCCTAACCCTGCTGTCTCAAATCCATGTACATCAAGCCAGCAGAGGGTCCTTCATAGGATTGGGCATTAACCTAAATACATTCTGAGTACCAAGTGGAAACTGTCGAGTCTTGGATACTAGTATCAAGTTTTTGGTCCGATTCTTAGACCTGTTTACTTATTCTTTTATCAGATATTTCTTAATTTAAATCAGAAAACATTTCTTTTAAACATTTTTTTATTTAGGAAAAGCTTTTAATTCACATAACACAGATGCACATTTCATTAATCACCCCCAAAAAAAAAAAAAAAACATGGTTACATTAAATGTTGGCACCAGTATCCCTGATGAATGGATTTTTTGTTATATTTTCAAATTTAAACATATCAACACTCAACATTGTAGCTACAGCTGAACACATAATAAGAATTACAGCTTAAAACACCTAAAAACACAAACTTGCACACAGACAGATAAAACGCAGCCAGTGGATAAAGAATAGAACTGGGATGAAACAACTTCTGATTGATTCTATTGAGGGGGTGGGCCTGGTGTAATGAGGGAGGCTGTTCCTCACTCTGGGTGCAATAACCATAGGCGTTATTCAAGCCTGCGTCTGATGAACCCTAAAGGTCTTAGAGGTCAAACGCAGAGGACCAAAAATGTAGAAAGCAGCCAAATAATTTAAAAGAACATAAATAACAAACCGCTACATCCCAAAATAAATTCTACAAAAGCAGCTGAAGAGAAACCAGAAAAGTGCAGTTCCTTTTTTTTCATCACTCAGCGGTGTGAGTTATTTGTGTGACAAATATGAAAATGCCCCGTTTACACTTTTACAAATTGTGTAAAAGGCGATCAATTTTGTGAATGCACTCATTAGTGAAAATATTGATGATTCTCTTGATTTATGAATTCACAAAAGAGTCAATATTTTGTTTCTACTTCAAAATGAAACCATTATGTCACAGGATATACATACAGTACTATATGGAGCCTATAGGACAGAGATGCCTTTCAGAAAACAGTAGATTGTAGTAAAGGAGTTTTAATGTCTGATATAATATTAAGTATATTACTATACAAAATATATTTGCCCCCTGTTTTGTTTGTTAATCCACTCTCGCCCATTGTTGGGTTTACAGGGAGACTGTGACCTCCAGCCCAGGCCAGTCCCTGCTTATATTTCATTGCATCCTGATTCTCTGACATGTAGTGTGTTGAATGGGGGGAAGGGTAGGAAGAGGAAGAGGGTGTCCAGGTGTGTGTGCATTGTGTGTGTGTGTGTGTGTGTGTGTGTGATGATGTGTGTTGTCATGTGTGTGTGTGTGTGTGTGTGTGTGTGTGTGTGTGTGTGTGTGTGTGTGTGTGTGTGTGGTTGGAGGAGGTGGGGGTGAAGAATGTTTGGTATGTGCGGACGACGACAACATGAAAGGCGGCGAGTGTTCAGGCCAACTGATTGTGCGCCAACAAATCAAACCCAAAAGCACAAGTATCCGATTATAAACTGAGCCACAAACACCAGACGCCTCAATCCGCCTTTGTCACAAAAAAGAAACCGCTAGTGCGAGTTTTTATGAGGCGGCCACGCAGTTTATTTGATGTCAAACACCCTGCAGAGGCGGAGATGGTTTGGTCTGTAGTAGGTGGGACTGCCGAGCGGTCTGCTGCAGGACGTCGTAGATCAATGAACCGGACCGGAGGGTTGGTCCATCGCTTCTGACTATAGATGTGTCACTATACCTATGCAGGACCGAGGCTTTATTACTATTAATCTGCCCGTTCAGTATGCGGATGTGTTAAAGCGACTGGCTATTTTATAGGTTCCTCATACGGTTTTGGATTCCGTCTCTAGTGGCTCCTCGTTGCGATTTTTTTTTTTTGGGGGGGAAATAAAATTTATCCGTTAACCTCCAGGATGATCTTTGCAAACACAGGCAACCCGCTGAAGACAGCCAATCGTAAGCAGGTAGGCCAGAAACACACACATTTTTATTTATTTATTTTTTAATCTCTGCCTACTTTTATTTTTGCTCACACTTGAGGCAGCGTTTGACTAAATAGCCTGAATAATAGCAGCCACAAATGACATTGGAGAGCCCTCTCTGCCTTCCATATGGAAAATATGCATTTATATCAAATCCTTTTACTGCCAAATGGGTTCAATTCTATAAAAAAAAATAGACCCACTGCTCTCAGCCGACTTGACAAACGGGAAGCTGATCCTCTGATAGGCTACAAGGGGAGGTAAAGCCAGCTGCTGACCCGATCTATAGCTCTACAACCGAGACTTTAATTAATATGTCCATATAACCTTGTTTGCCCAGCCACTCGCCCACACTGGTCAATATGCATGACGGTTACTGTAGTCTGTTTTATAGGTTAATGCATTCCGGGTGAATCCAGAGAGAGAGCGATATAGCTCAGTGTAATATATGTCAGTGTGCTGGACTGAAGAGAGCCGCTTGCATCCTTCATTTTGACCTCTCAGGTGAACAAAAAGGTAATTGAAGGCCGTGCCCCTTTGCTTTCCCATCACACCTTCTGATTTAGATGGGAGATGAGAATAGAAGGCAGGCACCATGTAACCTCTGATGATGGAAATATAATCCCTTTTAAAGATGAAGTGGATTGCGGGTTCAGTTTTTGGCCTGCCGCCTGTAACACCTCAAATACCCACCTTTCAGATTCAACAGTAATATTTATTCATCAGACAATACTGTGCAATACTTTGAGGGCAGGAATCTGTAACCAACCACATCTAGGTCCCTGCAGGGGAGCAGTGAATGAGTTTCCAGTGTAGGTGTAGCACAGGTTTAGTCTGCTGTAAGGCCTGATGATGCTTCTGTGAAATAAACCACCATAGTTGCCCTCTAATAGAGTAGGCGCACCCTCTCTCAGAGGCCTGATGTGAACCCTTGGTGGTCTCAGAGAAAGTTAGCGTGGTAACTGCATACCAACAAAAATGTAAGGCCTCTACTTGAACACATAACAGGCCTAACAGATGTTGCTGCCACAGCGATCAATGCCTCATCTGTAAAAGAAAAATAGCTACTGTGAACATTTAACAATCACACGACTGTGGAAGACTAGGTCGGTGATTCTTGTTGGCATGGCTGTAGTTGTATCCATGGCTTTGGCACTTTGGAGTGGATTGTCCTTTGGTTATGGACAGATGGTGTGATTCTGCCATGCTTTGTCTTTGATCTGATCTGGAGAGGGTTTGGGTTGGCTGGGAGCTATTTTAATGAATGAGTAAGGGGAAGGAAATGCTTTGCAGGGCAGTGCGGTGTGGTTTGGCTCCCAAGTATGAAGAAAACAGTTGGTTTCTGATAAACATAACAGCAGGATGTAAGACGTGAACACAGATTTAATCACATTGTGATTCATAAACGCCCATGTAAAAATTAAACATCTTTTAATGTCCTCTGTGGTGTATTGGCAGACAGAATCACCAGGAGCCTAAAGGTCAAACCTACCTACCACTGAGACCCTGACAGTGGTGGGTGATGTATATTCAAATCCTTTACATAAGTAAAAGCACCTAAAACTACTCACATTTCATTACAAATAAGAGTCTCATATTCAAAATGTTACTATAGTGTGAAAGTAAAAGTACAGAATTATTATAAACAAAACTATTCATAATGCAGGAACACACCATTCAGAGCGTTGTATTATCAGTAACATCTTATATCCTTGGATGTAATTACTTAATGTCATAATTTATCAATGTGCCGCTAATTTCAGATGCTTTATACACTAAAGGATGGATTGGTAGTAAAGCACTGTATCGTATTTTAAAAGCTCATCATATGTTTTTCATGTAAAATCTGAATCTACAGAGTAACTGTTCAGCACAGTACTCCTGTAAATTGACTCCCATCAGTGGAGCCTGATGTTGTTACAACATAGAAGACTGACTGTTATGTGGATCATTGATGAACAGCGCTTATCATCTGAAGAGTACTAGAACGACTTTTACTGTAGCATGCACATGAAATAAGAAATTCCGATTGTGTCCTCTGTGTGTTCCTGCACTTTCGTTTCATGCCGATGAATTGTTCTTGTGATCACTGTTGACCTGGGTTTAAATTAGGTTATCTAGCTCCCATACACGTCACTAACAGTGGGTTTCCTGTGTGCAGTCCTACCCCATGACTCCGTCCAGTCCCAGCAGCAGCAGCAACAGCAGCAGCACAGGCCTGGAGCAGCTCAGCAAAACTAACCTGTACATCCGGGGCCTGCCTCCTGCTACTACAGACCTGGACCTGGTCAAACTCTGTCACCAGTGAGTACACACACTCGCTGCATGAACACTACAATTATGCTTATGTGTGTGCACACCAGTGTTTTGTCACTGATATACTAGTGGCAGGCTCAAGATATCAAATACCAGCGTCATTCCTGTCTGATGCGCTGATGGCTTCTCCCTGACCACAGACACACACTGTACAGTACTTGCTGTTTTTAGTTGCTCATTTAAGTTAATGTAACTATTAAGCAATGCTAATGAAAATTAATTCTTAATTTGAAGAATTTTTTTGACATTTAGGAAATAACACTTATGAACCCACAGACAGGAAATTGTTAGCTTAGCTTAGCACAAAGGCTGGAAAAGGGAAAACATCTAACCCCTGTAAAACCACAAGAAGGGATTTTTACTGTTAAGTTTTTGTAATGTTAATTCAGGAGATTTAAAGGGCTTGTAATGTTAGGCCTATTTTGTTACCTTTAGGGAAAGCCAAGCTAGCTGTTTCCCCCTTTTTCTAGTCTTTGTGCTAAGCTAACAAGCTGTGGGTGTTTTCATATTTACTGTGCAGATAAGTGCGTTATCAATCTTCTCATCAAACTCTTGGCAAGAAAACAAAAAGGGGTATTTCCAAAAATGTAAATATTTGTTTATGACCTTCTTACTCATAAACAATGTCATTACTCTGTGTCAAACTGTGTTTGAATGGGGTTTAAGTGCCTCACAATACTTTTGAAGTTGTTTCTTATAGGTTTCCTCTTTGTTAAGAAGAGACATTTTAGAAATTTTAAAATAAATAGCATTTGAAAGGTTATTGAAAAAGAAATTAAATTTGAAATTTGACAAATAATAGTGACTGTCAGCTGTTTTAGTGCTAAAACATCAGTCTTGGAATTTAAAAACATGTACTGGTTTAACCATAGTGTACAATGACACATTAAATGCTCACATCACCATACCTTTATAAACAGACACACACATAGAGAAGTCATAGTTCAACTGTGGTATGTGGAGCAGTCTGCAAAAATGATTGTCTAAAAAGAAAAAAAAATAGAGTCATGTAAAGCAGCCCAGTGAACATGTTCAATACTTGATACTATAGGTTTGCGTCTGAGTGGTTAGTGTGGTGGATGCCATAATTAGTGGAGTTTTGTCTCCTCTCTTCTCCCTCTGAATCACAAACATATGGAGAGAGCCATTCACCCATGTAACCAGCAGCAGCAGCAGCTGTTTGTGTCCTGTTTGCTTGTGTTTTGTTCATGTTCCCAATGGTGTTTGCCAGCACAAAGCAGAAATGAAAGCGCTTTTCATAGCAACAAGGTCTGAATGGTGATGTAAGCTAGGCATTCAGTCTGCATGGTGTGTGCACTTAGATAGCAGCTCACAGCTTGTGCCATGGTTCAACTTTAACATAAGGTCAGATATACAGCAGAGCCCGAAAATGCCGAAATTGGATTCATAGTCTTTGGAAACATGTAAGGGAGAGTAGTGATGTACAGTATGTGCCTCTGATGTCACGGGGTATCTCATTGAATTTCACCAGTTTTTATTATTTCCATAAATTGTTGTTTTTTTTTTTGTGCTTGTGTTGTCTTTTATTTTTGATTGTCATGGCGAGTGAAGGTAATCTCTGTGCAAATTCTGCAAAGGGATACACAGAAATTTGACTGAGATTAACAACACATAATGAGAAGTCTAAGCCGATTAAGAGACATTTTCATAAAACACAATCACCTGCCTCCCTCCCAAAGAGTTCTTTGACAGTAATCTACATGTTGATGTGTATCCAGGTATGGCAAGATTCAGTCAGCAAAGGCAATCCTGGACAAAACAACCAACAAATGTAAAGGTCAGTAAGGTCATTAACTCACAGTACCAGCCATCACTGTTCAGTGCTGTACAATTAGTAGAAAGGGTATATTTCACAATTTAACTGAAATCCTCTCCTCCAGGGTTTCCATTCATTTCCGTAGGCTATGAAATCAATCTGCTACAACTAATACTTGCTCTATTTGATTTCATCACTGTGAACACGACCAGTGAATGTGTCTGTTTTTATTTTTGTCTAGCTTGTTGTGTTGTTGTATGGCACCACAGCTGAAAGTGAACATTGGTTTGCCAAGTCTAAACTGCATTACAATGCAACGAGAACTTACATTTGACACAAACAAAGGCAGATTATAATGAATTACCTAACTCAAGCAGGTTTAGAGTCTCAGATTTACACTTTATGGGAATAAATAGAAACCAGTGACTGACTGGATGACAGGATAATATATTCAAAAATCAGAAACACCATGTTGTGCTTTTGAAAATGGTCAAAAGTGTTGCAAAGTATGTGCATTTTGTCATAAATTTGATTAGATGTAGGTGCTGGATTGGTTCTTAAAGGAATAGTTCAACATTTTGAGTTCAAGACTCCAGGAAGTCACTGAGCCCACTAACCCTAACCAAGTAAAACTGCAACTTCTCATTTATAAACTTTGGTTTTGTACAAATTAAACAAACAAGATATAACCGGTTAATTAGAGATCTTTAGAGGAGCTGGTAGGCAGATTAGCTTACCTTTGGACAGAGCTAGGCTAGCAGTTTCCCCCTGTTTCCAGTCTTCATGCTAAGCTAAGCTAACAGGCTGCTGGCTCCAGCTACATATTTACTGAACAGACATGAGAGTGGTATCAAGCTTCTCATCAAAGACTGAATAAATAGCTTTTGCAAAATGTTGAACTGTTCCTTTAAAATATTACAGAAACCACTCTGAGAGGAGTATGATTTAAAATAGTTTTAGAGACAACAAGGTTGTGCGTGATGATTGATATGTTTACAATTTAAAACAATGAATATCAATATATATGACCCATCCATCAGTAACAGTGATAGTACAAAATGTACAATAGGTGGTTCCTCTCATTATTTGATGACCGTTAATGTAAATACTGTTGTACCAACTACAGGTTACGGCTTTGTGGACTTTGACAGCCCGGCGGCTGCTTTAAAGGCTGTACATGCTCTGAAAACCAGCGGCATACAGGCCCAGATGGCCAAGGTGAGTATGGTACAGGCACGTACGCAAGTTTCTCTGTATGTGTGTGTGTGTGTGCATATTTGTCTTGCTTGCGAACATCTCTGTGGGGTTGTGCTTCTTTAATGTGTGCATGTGTCTGGTGTGTGTTGGAGAATGACATTAAACTGGTCACATGACCCCAGCTGACAAGCTGTTCTTCCCGTGACCCCATTTACTTTCACTGTAGAAACCAGATGTCACGTCTCTTCCTGCCAAATAACCTGTCAGTCAGTGTGACACGTTACGCACAGGACCACCAGCTCACACACTCACACACCGCCTTGGCTAGGTTGGACTGTATAGAAAATATTGATTTCTACCAGTATTATCACTTTGTCATTTAGTATTGACAATTATCATTCATGCATACTAATAGAGGCATTTCTGCATCAAAGCACTATAGCAACAGCACTACTGCTCTGAATCATTGTTGATCCTCTGCCACTCATTTAAAGCAAAGCACACCAGCGTTTCATTTTTGAAAAATATTTTTAGACAACAAACAGGATATTTCTGCATCACATCTGCCATTTGTCTCGTATTGGGCAGCGGAAATTGTCTGGATCATCAAATTTTTTTCAGTCCCTTCCCTTTCCCAGCCCATTTCCCAGTTCATTGATGAAGGGTTGCTCTCTGGAGACCTGCATGTAGCGGCTCTGTTTGGAACAAACACAGCAGAACACAGTTTGTGTGTTGTGGTAGCTAGGCTACGCTGCTCTCCTGCTGTTTCTAGGGAAGACCGAAGAGGCGCTGAGCTGCTGCACAGTACAGATGAAGTGTGTGTGTGTGTGTGTGTGTGTGTGCAGGAGAGCTTATTAGTGTTTGCTGAACAAAATGTCTTCCTCTGACCCTTAACCATAACTTAGCTGAGTCTGAAACCCTGATCCACACAGACAAGATTCCTAGCAGAGAAAAACACACTTTCATTTGTCGCTTCCATCTTCTCTAATGTGAACAGCAACAGGAGCAGGATCCAACAAATCTGTATATTTCCAACTTGCCTCTCTCTGTGGATGAGAAAGAGTTGGAGAACATGCTGCAGCCCTTTGGCCAGGTCGTCTCCACACGGATCCTCCGGGACTACAGTGGCAACAGCCGAGGCGTGGGCTTCGCCAGGTTAGTCACAGACGATTGACAGAAAGAAGTGTTCATTTCAAACCCTGTGATTATACATAATCGACTAACACACAAATTACCATTCAAGTGATTTTACTTAAGGCTTAGCAATGGTACTCTCTGGCTACTTTTCAAATACAATAATTGATAAACTAAAACCTTGTAAATTTTTGTTAAATATAGGAATATTTGTAACAAATTCTTTACTCTTATCACACAGATGACACAGGTGACTGGAGTTTGAGGTTTATTGCAGTATAGGGCTACGTTCACACTTGCAGTCAGACTTATTAACTAGAATCAGTCATGCTCTGTTGTCTGCACAGGACTGGCTTTGTGTTTTAATAGCAAACAGAGTAAATCTGATCTCATGGAAGAAATGTAGAGGCTTTTGCGATCCACCCAAACTGTTTGATCTTCAAAATAATTTTCTCACTGAATCTTAAATTGCAATACAACTGCCAAACCTGCTTTTGTTTTGAAGGGTTGCCAAATGAAGACGAGCCGAGATACCGTTTATTAGCTCCTCTTCCATATACACAGAGCCAAGAATTTTTGTGTAAGAGTCTGAGTCTGCTGTGGTTGTCTGTTTAAACTGTAAAGAATGTGAACTGGCATTCAAGTGAAGAGGACAATCGTGTTCAAGTTTTGTGTGAATTGGGCCAAAAGTTATCCCAATTTGCGTCATGCTTAACAATACCACTTTGTGTTAAGGGAAATTTTTACTGTAGATCGACTCTGTGTGACTTATTTATGAGTCATGGCTGTTGTTTCATCTCCCCCCCTGTCAGGATGGACACAACAGAGCAGTGTAATGCAGTCATCTCCCACTTCAATGGAAAGTTTATCAAGATTGCTTCTGGTGCTCTGGGTAGGAAACATTTTTCCCTTTCTGTACAATTTCCCTCCCATGAAATCTGTGGACGCAGTGATAATTGATTATTGAGTGACTGTTAATATGTTGGTTTTTGTGCTTTTTTCCGAAGCCCCCCCTCAGCCCTTGCTGTGTAAGTTTGCAGACAGTCAAAGGAAGAAACATGCTCACAGCGGATTTGTTCCCAATGGACAGACAGGAGATCTCAGACTAGTATGTATCCGCTTCTCATCTTACATGCATTGTAGCCTTTTGCCTCCTCTGCGCCACTTACTAATGTGATGAGACTGAATGAATGAAGTTTTTATTATTGTGTCACGCACACAACTGTGCCCAGCCCGCACACATAGGCTTACAAGACACCACTAATCCAGAACAGGGGCGCTGCTGTGCTTTTAATCAGTTCTATAAAAACATCTGACCAACTTTCAAAATTAAATCTTCAGATCTTCATTGTCTACAGGAGAATTCATAGATCACTGGCAAAAATATTCACTATATAATACTGGAGAAATCAGTATAGATACTAAGTAAATAGTCCATCTTGCCATTGTTTCAAAATGAAACAACCGTTCCTGCTCTTGATCATCTGTACACCAGAATATGCCGGGATTTTGTGGAGCCATTTCACTTAATTAATCAGTTATTGATTATAAAGAAAATGAGAAATGGAAAAACAAATATTTCCACCAATTTTCCACCACATTACAACTGGCAAATCATTACTCCATATTGGGTTGATACAGTAATTGGATACAAATTCTTCTAGAGTCTAATAATTATCGTATTTTTCCTCACCTTAGGGTGCAATGACTCTTACCTATGACCCCTCCTCAGCAGCTATACAGAATGGGTAAGTTGCACTCAGGTTAAAGCAGTTCATGACATCATTCAGCTTTTTACTCGCCTCATAAATCTTCTGCTTTATTTTGAAAAAACCATCTGTCTCTTAGGTACTATCCTTCTCCGTATCCAGTGACCAACAGGATAATGGCGGTGCAGCCGGCGATGTCTCCCTACATGTCTCCAGTCTCTGCTTACCAGGTACTGCAGAGGATCCCTTTTTATGGGCGAACATAAACGTGTCCAACAGGCAGAACTGAATTTAAATCATCCCTCTCTCTCCACTGTCTCTCGCTTCCCCTCCATGTTGCATTTGTGGCTATGGTGTGTTTATGTGAGTTACGCTGTATTTTTGAGTGTGTGTGTGGGTAGTACAGGTGGCATAGATGTAAGAATAGGTGTTACAGCTGCCCTGGGCCGTCTGACACTTTGGTAGCTGCATATGGCAGTGATCATTTGAATGTTTGCATGTTTGAAGAGCTTGGCCAACTAGAAATTGTGTAATATCACAGTAAGCTTAGTGGTTCATGGAAGTTTTCTGCAGGTACAGTCATCCTCTCTGAGTCATACTTTCTCTGAATTGGGTTCTTGCTCATAGTTGCTGAATGTTTCTCTCAATACTTTTGATTCATTACCTTCTGTGCACCACAACCACTTCCATCCACTGACGACGTCCGTTCCTTGAAATTCATTTGCACAGGAAGGTTGAATGTGTGGGGGCTTGTCTAGCGGGGGTGGCAACTCACAATAGAGTTTTTTTTTGCATAGAGTCCTCTACCAGATGGACCCCAAATAAATCAACAACATGTTTGGATCTTCCAGGCCGGTGTGGTAGACGTCCCCATGTGGGGAATTGGTGGGAAGTTCTAAATAATAAGTTCAGGTGTTCTCTTTCCAAAAAAGTGGCCTTACCTTTGATGAAACAACTGCAGAGTCAATCATCATCCTGGCTCTGGCACTAAAGACACGTCCTGTATGAGTTTTCTTGTGCGAGGAGTTTGACAACTTTTGACAAAGGCTCACCTTTTCAATCAGATGGAGGAGGCGGCTTCTCTCAGGTACACCGCTCCAGGTGACTTACTCATTGGCATTATGACCTCTGCAAGTCTCCAAATAAGATATAATTCAGGTACACACACACAGACTGCACCTCGCAGCCCCATCCAGGCAACCCTCTGTTTATGCTGCCAATGTCAACAACACCTGCATCTTCCCTAGTCCCGCCCTTTGTCCTGTGGGCATTGCACTTGGTACCTACCTTTTGCATTGAGGGTTGAGGAAGTGCCTACAAAGAACCTGTGGTTGAAGGTTAGCAGCCCAAGAGCCCTCTGGTGGTCACCAGAAGAGGCACACAGGTGATGGACTTGAGGCCAAAAAGGTCGTATCAGCTACAATTACATACGCACAAAACCAGAGTATGGCTCATGCTCGTAAAAAGGCTGCAGAATAACCTTCTGTGGGAAGGACCTTGTCCAAGCTGTCAGAGGTAGAAGTTTACTGAACTCCTAATCTGACAGACATACTCCCAGAACAGGAAGCAGAACTGTAATATACTGTGATATAGTGTAGAGGTCATCTTAATGGCTGAGGTTATTGGGGTTGTTTAAAAGCTTCTTAGTGCTGTGACAACAGAGAGACTGGTCGTAAAAAGTTGAATTGGAAGTGGATATATTTGGGCTGTCATGGTTGACCAGGATCTCAGAGCGGGAATAGTGGCTTCAAAACAGAGGAATGGATGGCTGGATGAATATGAATGGATATGGTATATGCTGTTGCAGCCCTAATTTTGGACTTAGACTATTAAAATCTATGCATTTCTACTTAAAAAATATGGCTAAAATTAGTTGGTAGCATATTAGTTTCTTTCAAGGCACACAAATAACTTTCTCTTTTTATCTCTCTTTCGTTCTGCCCCTCCCTCCCCGTCTCAACCTCTGTTAGGTACAGAGTCATTCTTGGGTGGCACATCAACCATATATCATGCAACACCCGGTAAGGGAACGACAGCATTTGCTTTTTTTTTAAAAGCACTCATACACTACCTCCTATTCTGTGTACAGGAAATGGGTGTGTGTGGCAGCACCACCGCTAAAGCTCTGAGCTCACAGTAACTCCGAGTGTTACTTTAAACAGCCCGTTCTGCTGACACAGACAAACCAACAACGTCCAAAACTTCCCCAAATGTAGAAGGACAGAGCTGAGACGTGTTCTGGGAAATATAGCCACTGCGTATTTATATATTGTAAGTGTGTATATGTGTGTTGGAGTGTGTATGAAAGAGAAATGGAACAACGAAAAAGACATTCACCCCCCACCCCCCCACCCCTCCTCTCTGTGGATCCAGCAGGAAATGCCTGAAGCAGAGACAGTCTTGTGACTCTTTGACTCTTCCAACAGATGGTTTCCAGCGGAACAAGTGTCTCTGCTGATCTGCCCCCTCCCCCACTTTTTGCTAGGAAATGGTCTATTCCCTAAAGGCGTCATGTTTAAAGGAATATACGCCATCTGAAAACACACTAGAGCTGGCAGTGTCATACCTTTTACATATTTTCATCCCTTAGCGTAACACAGGAGCGTAGAGTACTTCATGTTTACCTCTGAATACTGCACTATTACAGACTTAGTGCTGCAAATGTATTAGTTTACATTTTGTCAAACCTCAAACCCACAAACCAACAAACAAAATATCTTCTTTTTTGTTTTTCTTTTTTTTTTGCCAGTTCATCTTTTTTGTTCTGTCCTACATACATAGCTCTCAAACACTAAGTCATGCTATATTTATACTCAACACTGCCACTGTTATTGCAGCCTTCATGTGTTGTCTGTGTTTTATCAGAATTAGTGGATTTAGTTTGTGGAACTGTATCATGTGATGTGATTTAAAAAAAAAAAAAAAAGAAAGAAACGAGCTGTCTTGTGTTACAGGCTGCTGTGATGTCTCCCTCTGTGGATCCCTCCATGTCACTGCACCCCACGGCCATGATTACTCAGCAGATGGGTCAGCTGTCATTGGGAAACACTGGAGCGGTGAGTGGAATTCTGGGATAGCCTACATCCTCAGAAAGCATTGACCAAATTTAATGTTTGGAATAATTAAATAGAAAATACTCAATAGTATAATGACAAAATGATGGTTTCAGTTTGTGCAATGGCTGTACATTGACCTGTGACTGTGGCTCACTAGAGAGATCTTTCAATCAAACGGATTAGGATTAGTGATCTTCATTCTGTATGATTGATTCACTTTTTATTTTTTTAAAACAGATGACGGTTTATTTTTCGTGACGCTCAGCACAAATCGTTCTTTGTTAACAAGGAAAGATGGTCTGTTGATATTTAGAACAAACCTAAATTACAAACATATTGTCTGATGAAAAACAGCACGACACCTGATGTGACGCAGAATTCAACCAAAAGTCAAAAGCCTCTTTGTGCAGTTACATTCATGTACGTTACGTCACGTTTAGTGGTCTCTCCCTGAAGAGGTAAGACTTATGTGAATATGATGAGACTGAAGATTTTATTTATGATTATATGATTATTTAAAGGCTACAGTTTTCAGTAAAATGTCATGTTCTTCTGAAAGGATGATTGTAAAAAAATTAAAAAATAAGAACTTGTGACAGATTTTATTTGTAGAGCTTGGGACAGAAGACAAAGGTTTTTGCAAAGTGTAAATTGTGTAAAATGTTATGTTTGTTGCACCACTGCAGCAGTATTTTATTTTTTAATTTATTTATGATTTTTTTTATTTACTATGATGTCCATGTGGGTTGGGTATTCGTTGTGCATGACACAACAGATAAATAAAGCTCCCTCTTCACGCTACCAGAGAAATACTAAGGATCAAGGAGTAACTGCTACAGCAACAGGGTTTCCTCAATAACTATGAAATGACCTTCCTCCTACCCTGCACTTTCTATCTTTCAGGAGTTTATCTCTAAGTGCATGGTGTAAACGTGATGCTTTCTGTTTGTATTTTTCTTCTTTCTTACGGATTTATTCTCATTGTGCTGTAAACTTTGTGAACTTCAGCTGTGTAATGTTTAAAGTGCTATGTAAATAAAGTTGAGCAACACAAGATATACCATACAATGGCTTTAATTTTATTTGTTCTTATCTTACAGTATATCGCTGCCAACCCTGGTGTCCAGGGAGCTTACATGCCCCAGTATCCTCCCATGCAGGCCCCACCTGTAAGTTTTATGTATCTTGGTCTCATTCAAATCATCTAACCAGTGTCCATTTAAGTCTGTATCTTAAAACAATAATTGTTTTAGAAAATTGCAACAGCCCATGCCAGTCCAGTCCTCTTCCATTCATGAGGCCTTGAGTTGTTTTTGAAGTGTTCATCCTCTAAAACTATCAATTATCTCAGTGCAAACGCAGTGATGATAGTTATTATCACGTTCTGAATGAGAGCTGCTGTTTTGCTTTTCAGGAAAATGGCACGCCGCAACAAGTGGATTCTTCCAACAACTCATCTCCTTACAGTCAGCTCAGCAAGTAATCACAGGTACGCTTCAGTTTCTGAATGTAGGCCGTCTGAGGTACAAGCAGCTTCACTGCCTCATAATGGAAGTTCACTATCACCACTTTCTCATAAGAGATCCAATATGTTGCAAGTAACTGCTTTATTAATGGTTAATCAAACAATTACTGAGGCTTTATAGATCCGTTATAAGCCATTAATGACAAGATTTTTGGTTTTACCAAGCTGCTCATAAATGATGCCTTATTAGCAAAATGTACCAAAGTCATTTATCAAATGCAAGAGCAATTTTCAACAAATCCCTTTCCAACATGTTGTGAGACATGTATAACGAAAAAATTATAGCAATTTGTGTCTGATCTGACTGTTTAACAAAAACACTTCAATTACGTTGTTAAAACCAACTCATTTAAAAATTAGGATAATTAAATATTTCTCATTTCAAACATTTAACTGCTGGACACGAGATGTCTCCTACTTCACAGAAAAGTCAATCTCATCTTCAAGCTTCCACCTCAGACATCACACACGTGTAAGCTGCATGTTGGGCCACGTTTAGTTTCCAAACTGGCTGCACTGTCTGAAAAACCTGCTCATACGCGCACACACGTTAAACTCAGATTTCAGGTGAGCGTGGAGAAGTGAAGAAACAATAAGAAAAGCACATTTCTGAGTGCAGGGCAACTTTGAATAAGCAAAATAAACCTTTAAAAATAGCACTACACTGTGTTGCTCAAATATAATCAGATCCCAATGTTGCTGTTCATATTAGTTTATAGTTTTTATACCAGCGCTTCTGCTCTCTGTGTCTTTATTTTTAGGCTGTTTTACCCGCTCTGTGAGCCAGAGGGCAGGTGGGAAGTTGCTGATGACATCACAGTGAAAACACTCACCGCCTTCTCTGATTGGACCAGACACATGAACTTTTTTGCACAGCCCCGGCATTTGTGGTGGAAAATGAGGACAAGTGTAAATGGACTCAAGCAGTTGGCTAATCACAGAAAAAAAACAAGATTTATTTTGATAAGAAACAACATGCTCTTCTTTTTCTCTTTTTTCATGGATTCTCAAACCAATACCAGAGGACCCCACCACCCCACCCCACCCCACCCTCCGCCCCTCTCTCTCCACCTTAGCTTCCCCCCTCTTCCCATTACGATGGGATATTAAAATGCATGAGATTGAGATATTTCCCCCCTTCAAGGTTTCTATGATTTTATAGTTTCCTTTATTTGTGATATATGAAAAACCTTGCAAAACGTTGTTTGCACTGAAGTTTAAAGTTTCAGAACAGTTTTCAAAGTGGCCACAGAGAATCTTACGAAATCAATTTTATGTTCAACTGCACTTGACAGCTGACACAGGTGAACATTTCATTAGGAAATTAATGAATTTATTATTGGAAAAGGTGCCTTCCTTACGTCACATCAAACATTCTCCAACATTTTTCATCGAACTTGATCAGGTGTCATATTTCTATCAAATGTGTGTATGTGTGAAATCATGGAGATTTCCATTGAGTGTTTCGCTATCTAGTCGTCTGGTAGCAATAAAGACAATGAGAGTCCCACGGCAATACTGAGAAAAAAGAACGGTGGCAAACTCAGAGCAAGGTAATTCTTATTTTCCTCTTTCTCTTTTTTTTTTTTTTTTTTAACTTCAAGACATGACATGAAACAAGAGCCGTACTTTTATGAAATTACATCTTTTAGGAGTGTTATTGTTTTGTTTTGTTTTCTTTTGTGGTCAGTTTGACCGGTGATCTACCTCATGGTTCTGCTGGAGTCTGCTGGTGGTGTGGGGTTTGCAGGTAAAGCCTTTTTTCACCAGAGTGGATGAAGCAGAACAAAAGCCACGCTCAGGAGCTGGCTGAATAGGACTTTTCTCTTCCTAGCATTTCTCTTCCTAATTTTCAAAGAAACATTGTGCTTTGCCTCATCTTTATTTGTCATTGCTTCCGTTCTGGTGTTTGGGTTGTTCAGTTGTGATGCTCCATTTTAGAGATTCAAAGTGAGACAACTACTAGCCTCTCCTTAAAGTAGTTGGTTTACAATGTGTTTGAACCAAATGAATGCAGGCTTCAGGCATTCATTCGGTTCAATCTTCTGCCTTTGTAAAGTGATGACTCACCACTTTCCCTTACCTTTTGTCTTTTTCCTTTAAAAAAAAACAAAACAAAAAAAAAAAAAAAAAAAAAAAAAGCAACTATATTGGGTTACACTGCTGGTTTGTAACACTAGGATTTTATAATTTGGTTATACAACAGTTTCATGGTGTTCATGCCAAATAATTTGGACAAGTGGAAAAAGTAACTCAAATCTTGCCTCCTGCAAAATAAATGCAACAATCATGTATGAAATACTTCAAACGCAGCAGTATTTCATTCCAATTTGATGGAAGTTGAAATCACATGGCTGACAGCATGTATTTCAGTGGTCAGCTTGTTAAGAATAAGATCTGTAAATTATATTCAGGGCCAAAAGTGAAAAATAAGTGAGTTTTATAGTTTGCCTAGATTTTCTTTTCTTTAAATGTAAGAACTCTACACTAATAAAAACAAGTGAACAAGAAAGAACAAGAAAAAGAAGAAACAATATGGTCAAAGCTCTATGGTCGATGATCAGTAGTACTGTAACTGTAAATGCTCAGAGTAGGAAACTACAAACAGCAACCAGACTTAGACTGAGTGTATTTTTCCATTCTGAACATTTGCTGCTGGAAAAAATTGAAAAATGGAAAAAAAAAAAAAATTGTACATGTTATCCTCATTGCTTCCCCCCGTCACCTTCAGCTGATTCTCAAACAATCCTCTCCTTGCTCTCTCCTTTGACAAGATTGGAATAAAATCAGTGCTGAATAAAAGGCTCTTCTCTTTCTCAGATACGACTCCTGTCTTTTTAACTGACTAGTCTTGTTGCATCTGTGTTTTCTTACTATTGCACATGTGTAATTTTGGGTCTGTTACACATAACATTACACATCATTCGCACTGTAAATGTAAAACTCACAAATCATATAGTTTCTTTTCTTTTAAATAACTAAATAATTTCCCAAAACAGCTGGCCACTGTAGTTTTTAACAAATGTCACTCATACGGGAGTAGCTGCACTTTTTGGGGGTGTATTCACAGCTGTGGATTAATACGCATTTGGTGCTCTAGTGAATATTTGCATCAGCTGGACTGTGTGTGTGTGGGGCTGACTCAGAATAAACTACAGTGCCCAGAGCGCTATAGCACGGGGGAATGAGATGTATCAGTCTTTGCATACACGGGTAATATTTGGATGAATTCGTTGTTGGTTGTGGAAAGAAAATAATACAGACTAGCAATCACGTGCAAGTTTAAAGATTTACAGAGACTTAAAAATCTACTCCAGCTATTTTGTATTGCACTGTCTTACACTTGGGGGACCTGGAGAGACAGATTTCAAAAAGAAGAGATGAAATTGATGCAGCGGAGGCCGAGATATACTGACATTAAATCCCTTGTCTCGGTCAAGCTACAGGAGTGTTGGATCCTGCAATTCCCATGATACAACCCACAACATTTTTCAGATCCTCTCCTCCTTTTAAAGGCTCCTGGTATCCACTTTGTAATCCAGGCTTTCCATTAAAATTTCTAGGTCCAAGCCAAGATAGTGTTCATAATAGGCGTCCTTTTTTTCAGACTTTGGAAAGTTACATCCAGACTCAAATCACACATGATACAGCTGCTTTCTTTCTTTGTTATGGGTAAAAAAAAAAATCCTCATTAGTAAAACCTGCAAAGTTCCCCTTCAACATTTTAAACAAAAAAAAGTAACCACATCTAAGTTATGCACAATCACATAACAAAAAAAAAAACATCCCATACTAGCAAATCCTGGCTAAGAGATCTGGCAATAACAGCCTCCAACCTTCTGTGATTACAATAAAAGCAAGAAAAACCGTCGGACAACCTTTAAAACTGTCTCCTGTCCAATTATCAGTCCAATTAATTGGGCTGTACTGATGTCTGGCAGCAGAGGGCGCTGTGAGCCAAAGCTGTTCGACGTACTGTATCTACCAGAACTAATGTTCAAGCTTGGGCAACTTCTTGTGTGTCTGCGTCTGATCTTATGTATGGAACTTATGACGGATCGGATGAGCAGCAAGTGCTACATGTGTGTGCTCATGCCCCTGTCCTTTCCTGCTCTATTTCAGGCACACAGCCTTTGTAGTTTCACTCTTATACCGGATCTCCCTTCTTAAGCTCAGACTTAGTGCAGCTGATCCCGGAGACATAAAGGCACCATGCCCCCATCTCTTACCAGTCAAGGGGATCAAAAGCAAGATTAGCCATCACACCCGCTGTCACCCACCCACCCCATCCAACCCCAACTCCAGGAATATACATACATGTCCCATGTAGCTCATGCACACACACATGTCAATCAAGTGCCTATTGTGAGGGCATCAACCCTTTGAACATTAGATACATGCCAAGTAGAGTCTCTCTCTCTTCCCTCTCCTCTGCTCTCTGTCTCTCTCTCCCTTAATTCTCCACAGCTGAAGGGACACATGGCACCGGTCCCTAGAGAAAGCCCAAGGTCAGACTCGGGGCACAGACATTAAGAGGGGAGGCCTGCTACAGTATCCAGTATCATTCATTTAGTGTGATACACATCAGCAATGCAACACATGTGACGCTTCCTAGAGATATACAGTAGGCTGTGACTTTTCCTTCTTGTTTCTCTCTATACTATAATTTCCAAATTATTCCAAAGGTGTCTTTCTTTTAGAAGGAAGACGACCAAACGGTCCGGATGGTCAAACAGATACAGGATACTGCAATTTCATTTACAGTATAGGGCTGCAACTAATGGTTATTCTCCTTATTAACATCATAACTGCAGATCATTTTCTCAATCAAGCAGTTGATTGTTTAAAATGTCAGAAATAATAACAATAGCTTGGTACATTTTTCCTAAAGCCCAAGACAAGGCCTTCAGATTCATTGAATAAATATTTCATAGATCATCAAAACTGTTTCTGATTATATTCCTTCAAACTGCAGTGCACTGCAGCTGTCTGCTAACAAGCCCGGGCCATGTTTTTCTGTTATCTCACTACCTGACTAAATACCACAGGAATGGCACTTGTATACATTTTTTAGGAACTTGCACTTTATTTTAGTTTTTTTTGGTATTTATTTTCCTGTCATATTACTTTGTACTTTAACTCCACTTACATTTCAAAGGGAAATTTTGTACTTTTTACTCCATCTGACAACTGTAGTCACTAGGTACTATACAATTTAAGGTTTTTTCATACAAAACATATGAAAAGTTTAAAAGATATGATGCTTTGTTATAAATTAAACCAAAAGAAAATATCAGGTGACTTTTACATGTGACGGACTATTTTTAGAGTTGTATTATTACTTTTAAGTGAATATGTCCTCCACTACTACATATACAACTTCTGAACTGAACTTAGCCTGATAAAGAATCACTATGGATTGAAATATTGTGTTTTGGTGTTTAATAATGCTATGAGTAAAATTTTGACCTGCAGGCTCACGTTCTTCCTTCACAGAGCTGCACAAGCCTTATTATAATAAACATAATGAATGTAAATACTAAATGTTTATGCATCGCTGCAAATTTGCATCAGTTCATGAGGATGTTATAACTTAAAAAGGCCATTGCTAAGTAATTTGTGTTAAAATAATATTTTGACACTATCAGAAATCATAAGGACAGTGTTTACAGAGATTGAAGTTATTATTGTTAGCATGCTAATGTAAGCATTTAGCTCAAGTACAGCCTCACACAGCCACTGGCATAAAGGTTTAGTCTTGTTTCTGAGCAGAGGGTCTGGGGATAGAGAGTGTTGTACAAATTGTGAAGCTCTTTGAGACAAACATTGTGATTTCGGGTTAAGTAATCTTCAGTTATTTACAGTGTAGACCTATTCACTTTTATTTTGCTACCCTCACACATTCATGTATGTGTACACCTGCATTCCAGCCATACCACAGTAAGAAGGAAGCTGTATTACAGCACTGGCACTCCTTCTATCAGCTTCCTCCTCTTCCTCCTCCTCCTCCTCCTCCTCCTCCTCCTCCTCACTGCAGGAAGTAACAGAACTTGAGCAAACGTGCGCACACACACACACACACACACACACACACACACACACACACACACATACACACACACACACACACACACACACTCCAAACTAATCAAAAAGTCAGGGGTGTTGTGCTGCAGTTCACACCAGCTTTAGCCTCTAGAGCGCAACACTAGCACATCAGTCAGGTCGACTCTTAATAAAGAAGTCAGCCCCTGTGGGGGTCTCACAGCCAGCAGTTGTTACTGTCACTCATTATTGTCACAGCCTCCCACTGCACACACTCACTCACACACATATGGGCACGCTGGAGTCTGTGCAAACACCCACACATGATCCCAGTATGCATGCGTACACGCTCACCCACTTTCAGACACACACACACAGACAGACACACACAAAGCACACATGAGCTAAGGAGCATGGACAGCAGGGTCACCCTAGCGCCATGCTTCATAGAGGGCGCCGTTACAATAGGTTTACTGTTACTCTGACGACTGCCGGCATACAATAGGACTGAATGTACTGGCCTGATGCTTCTCTATTTCTCTCCATTTTTCACTTGATGACAAGGAAGACAGACTGAGACGGGACAGCATGTTATCAGAGGACGCCCCTGAAGGTGAGCCGGCTCATTGTAGGATTAACATATACCTATGTTTCCATGCATAGTAAATGTGTAGTGCTGAGAGAGAGAGAGAGAGAGAGAGAGAGATGTGAGGGAGAATAATTTATGGATTGCTGAATTTTGATGAGGCTGATCCTGTCATGACATGTTTAAAACACCATTGTCAGATTTATTTTGAGAAAACCTTAATTTTCCCTGAAACCGAACTGTGAGAAATAGTATGGTGCAACTGTGACATCTTAAGCACCTAATCCACTTGATCATATCCTCATCCAGGATATGATATCACCTGAAAAATAAGATGGTGTTCATGGTGTCATATAGTGTCATATGTTGAGCCATTTCTTGAGAAATTCAGAAAATAAGGACAAGCAAGGAGGAGAGGAGAGGTGACGAGAGGAGAGGAGAGGAGAGGAGAGGAGAGGAGAGGAGAGGAGAGGAGAGGAGAGGAGGGGAGANGAGGAGAGGAGGGGAGAGGAGGGGAGAGGAGACGAGAGGAGACGAGAGGAGAGGAGAGGAGAGGAGAGGAGGGGAGAGGAGGGGAGAGGAGGGGAGAGGAGGGGAGAGGAGACGAGAGGAGAGGAGAGGAGAGGAGAGGAGAGGAGAGGAGACGAGAGGAGAGAGGAGGAGAGGAGCAAATCAAAGGTAGACTAGCAAACAGAAAATCAGAGGATTTAAGCTGAAGGAGGTATAAATGAAAGTGCAGTTTCACAGACGGACTCCTCAAGACGGCTACTGGGTAAGGTGGATCAAAATACAGAGGGGGTGTCACTGAAAGATGAAGAGAGAGGGGTGAGAGGGCTTAGCATGAGAGGAGTGGGTTTGGTTTGGGGTAACAGATGGGACTCATCCAGACCCAGAGGGGTGTGGTGCTGAATTGTGAGATTCCTCTGAGTTGGGACAAGCTACAAGATATTTGCACTGCAGCTGTCAGTGGTACAACACCTACGCAACTGCACCCTCCTCCCCCTCGTATTAAACACACACACACACACACACACACACACACTAACACACAGCCACAGACACATGCATACACTCAGAGTCATATTTCATATCTTGTGATAGGCCTGCATGGTTGTTTTCTTCAAGCTGAAAAAAATTCTTGTGCGACAATGACAATGATTCATGTTCTTGTTAAAGATTAACATATCTGGTACAGTGTCTGGGTAATAAGGGTCTACTGGCTATATTTGCTAATGGTGTGGTCTATCTGTCTTTTATTATCCTTGTCGGTCAAAGTTCAGTGAATAGTGATTAAACATTTTAATGGACCAATGTATTCCATTTATTATTTTGTTTTTTTATTTATCTAATTTCTTATGTAGCTCTTTTTGAGTGTCCTTGTAAATGTTGTGATTGATGTGGTTAACTGCTGTGATAACACAATATTATCTATCTATCTATCTATCTATCTAGAGGCTCACGAACACATTAAGGCACTTTACAGGGTAAGGTCAAGACCTTACAATATTATAGAGAGAAACCCAACAGTACTCAAGTACCCAGATCCTTTACCTATAAGTAAAAGTAACAATGTTGTTGTTAATATGTGATGGCATTTTACTGTTGTAGCTGGTCAAGGTGAAGCTAGTTGTAACTGCTTTATATATATGATACAGTCAGGTTGTTCAGCCCAGTGGCTCCCAACCAAGGGGTCGGGCCCTCCTAAATGTCACAAGATAAATCTGAGGAGTCCAGAGATGATAAAAGTAGGTACAAAATAAGAAGAAATACGGTTCTACTCAAATTTCTACTCTTTTTCTCTAAATCTTTTGGCTTTTTTTTTTGTGAAATATTGGATAATTTTACCTCTTTGGGCCTCAAGTAGGCCTAGTTATTTAAATAAAACCACCCTATAATTTTAGAGGAGAAATGTTTTGTTTGTTTTTTTGTTTTTTTTATGGTTTTTAGTTTTTTAAAGAAGCCACATTCCAAAAATTGAAAACCTAAATCTTGAATGTTAAATGAATCTTAAATGGGAAAGCAACTCGCCTCATGGAGTAGAAGACTACATTTTTTTTTATTTTTTTTTTTTTTTGCAATGTGGTTTATCGGTTGTGAATAAAGCCTGTGGGAACAAACCCGATTCACTATCAGTCTATTGATATGTCAGCGTGTGTGGGTGTGCTGTCTCCTTGCGCCTGCCTCGTTCTCTCACCTGAACGGAAGTGGACATAAAAGGCAGCGCAGGTAGGAGCAGCCGCTCACCGCCTCCTCGTTCTCTGAGCAGGTAATGCGGGACAGCAGCGCTCTCCCCTGTACTCTGCTCTCGGCGACGATCATGTTTCAGTCCTGTAAATATGAGACATATTGAAATATTCTTCTTGTGTTTCCTATCAACCAGTAACCTCACGGACTAATGGGGCTTATACTGCTGAGCCTGATTCTCCGGTACTGGATCAACACCGTGGAGGGTAAGCTGATGTTTGGTTCGGCTTAAAAAAAAAAAAAATCAAGGGCAACAAGTTTGTAATGTGCAAACAAAGAGTAACAGTTTCCCAACAACAAGCCATTAACTCTGTCTTGGTGTTTATAACCGGTAATATGACATGTTATTGTGAAAAGCTTATATATTGTATTATTATTACCTGCAAGAGATACACTAAATTAAACTCAACCTGATATTTTATCATGTCCAAAAACACGCTTTTTATAAGCTGTACCTCTTCTCTGGAGAGACCTTTAACTTGTTGCAGGAAACTGTGGTAGATGTTGACATTTTCACACTGACTGTTTTGCTGCAGGGTCATGTTCAGCTGGCAGCACTGTGACTTGTGACCAGTGTCTGCAGCTCAGTCCTCACTGTGCCTGGTGCACACAGGAGGTAAGCAGCCAGGGTTGCATGTATGAAACCGCAGCATGTAGGCAGACGACCATAACGCATTTAAAAAAAACACGATTTTTGGACAGAGATCATCGTGTTTGCAAGGTTGCACCTTCTGATGATCATATAACTGCTGCTTTATGGCATGCTATAAAACAGTCTCAGTCTTCAGTCTGTAAACAGCCCAACGTGTGATGTTTTCCTTCACCTCGCAGAATTTCACAGACTGGTTTTCAGTCAGCGAAAGATGTGGCACATTGGATATCTTACTAGAGAAGGGATGTGCCAGGGACCAGCTGGAGTTCCCTGTCTCCAAAGGCCAAATCCTCCAGGATCACCCACTCGGGAAGAAGATGGGCAACACTAACAGCACTCAGATCTCCCCACAGAAAATGGCCCTCAAGCTGCGAGCTGGTATGCAATCCAAGGCATTTCGAATTGACAATTTGCCTCAAGAAGAGGTTGCTCATTTTCACTCAAAAATAAGGTGCTGATTTTGTCATCGCACAGGCAGTCAGGTGACTTTCCAGGTCAAGATTCAACACACAGAGGACTATCCTGTGGACATGTACTACCTGATGGACCTGTCAGCATCCATGATCGATGATCTGGAGATGATCAAAGGCTTGGGCTCCTCTCTCTCCAAAGAGATGGTTAACCTCACCAGTAAATTTCGCATGGGCTTTGGCTCTTTTGTTGAGAAACCCGTCCTGCCTTTCATCAGGATCACAGAGGAAGAGCTGGCCAACCCCTGCAGGTATACAATAAATATTAAAACATGGCCACATCTTCCGCTCTGAGACTAGTTCCCCGTCAGCGTACAGTGCAGTGTCATTTGGTATCTCACATAATCTCATTTTTCAAATGTTTGTTTTTGACTCCTGGTGTCTTACAGCAGTGTAGGTTCAAACTGCCTGCCAGCGTTCGGCTACAAACACGTCTTGTCTCTGACGAGCAGCACTGACAAGTTCAACGAGATCATCGCAATGCAGCGCGTATCTGCGAATATTGATTTGCCAGAGTGTGGTTTTGACGCTGTCATGCAGGCAGCTGTTTGTGGGGTAAGATTTTGTTTTTCATTTGAGTTAATCCCTGGTGTTACAAAAAAAAGAAAAAGAAAAAAGGAGCATGAGCAACATAATGTGTCTCCCGATATAGGACAAGATTGGCTGGAGGAATGATTCGATGCGTTTGCTGGTGTTTGTCAGTGATGCTGACTCACACTTTGGGATGGACAGTAAAATGGCTGGCATCGTGATTCCCAACGACGGGCAGTGTCACCTGGATGTCAACAACGAATACGCCATGTCCACAGTGCAGGTAAACACACAGAGGTTCTTTCTCAGTTTCATGTCTTTCATTTTATGAGTTGTTTTATGGGTCAGCTGTGACGATTCACCACTGCCTCACTGTACACATTCGCTACTGACCTCTTGCCATTTTTGTCCAGGAGTATCCAACTCTTGGTCAGCTGATTGATAAGGTGGTGGAAAACAATATCTTACTGATATTTGCTGTGACAGAAGAACAGAAACACAACTATAAGGTAAAAGCACCGCCCTGTAAAGGCATTCATTTCTTTCTAGTGGAATAAGTCCAAACTAGAGAACTGAAACATGCAAGTGTTTGTGTGAGCACAGCGTTTATACTGAGGTTAGCATATTCATGCATTGAGCTACATTCTCATTCAACCTGTTTGAACTAGCCCTCTTTTTCTTCCTCACTCTTTTCTGTACTTCCTCAGGACTGTGAGCCAGGTCTACCCACATTTGCAACTGTGACTTATGCTGTTTATCTGTGTGGTTTTTTGTTTTTTTTTTCTTCATAGAAATATGCAAATCTCATACCTGGCGCCACAGTTGGAGTCCTGGCGACAGACTCGCGAAACATCCTGGAACTGATAGTAACAGCATACAAAGTAAATAAACTGTGATCTGGATGTGCGGATAGACTGTGTGTTTGTCTGCTCATAAGAAATAAGACAGAAAACACCTGCCATTATAAAAGCAGTAAAACTGTGTTAAAGTTATTTGTCAGTAAAATGTTTTAGGCTTGAGCCAGAGTTTTAACCAAAACACAAATATATGAACATAAAGCATCAATTAACCCTCTGTACATCTACATTTTTACATCAGAGCCCGTAGAAAGTATCTCTGACTCCTCCGTTCCCTCTCATTCTCTCGCTTTGCCTCTTTCATTCTTTCCTCTTGTTATATTTTTCCCTCCACCGCCCGGTGCTGTGCATCAGCATGTCTGACAGCAAGTCTCTTCTTGTCCGAACTGTTTGATCTCCTCGTCCCTCTGCCTCTTTCCTCTTGCTCTTTTCCTCCTCACTCTCTCTCTCTGTCTTTCCCTCTCTACCTCTTGCACTCTGTGCCCTTCTGTAAAATCCCCCCTGGCGGCAGCGACTGGTGGCACGTCTGCAGTCCTCTCATTACTTCATCAGTTACGCCGTTTACTCCCACTTTTAGTCTCTGCCACGTTAACCACACTGAAGAGAGGAGACCCTGTTATCACACTGATTGTAGATAGTTGTGGTTCTTAAGGGAAATGAAAAACAAACAGAGGACAGATGATTAGTAATTACACTCACCGGCAATTTTGGATTAATGTTTGTTGCTTAGTGCATCGATAGTTTACCCGCCCCACTTTAAATACCCTACAACAAATTTACTGATAAACAGTTAAGTCTTATATGTGTATATGTTTTACCTGCTCCATCTTCAGTTGGGTGTATCCAATGACCGTCCCCCTGTTTTCTCCTCCTTAGCAACACTGAAGACACAATTACAGGCCTACAGCACACACACACACAATTAACCCTCTGTTAGCACCCAGACAGTCTGTCACAGAGTTCATTAGTCAGTCAAACACAGTCTTTCCCCCAGCTGAGGTTAGCTGTCACTCTTTCCTGAGGTGTTTCACACACCTGGGATGATGACTCACCCAAAAAGAGACCATTAGTTAGGAGGTTTCGAGCAGTCTCGGCATGTCACAGGTCAGCGCATGGTGAGAGTCTAATTCCACCTTAAGCCCTGGAAATCCCCCTTCATGTTAACAAAAGTCAGTAGATTGATTTTAAAGTTGGGTTTTGGTTATTTTTTGGGAGAGAAAAACCTTCTGTTCAGCACCAGACTGTGCTGCCTATGACATTTCCATAAGGGGTGCAGTAATTATCATGTACTGTTTTCAGGAGCTGCGTTCAGAGATCGAACTGGAGGTCCTGGGAGACACAGAGGAGCTGCAGATGTCCTTCACAGCCATTTGTCCAAATGGGACTGTCCACCCTAACCTAAAACACTGCTCCAACATCAAACCAGGACAGATGGTAAATTCTTGCCTTTGCTCTAAATTGTTCTTTTTCTGTATTTGTAAAACTGTATATAGTGAATTACATTATGAATGCAAGCAGGCATCAGATCCTTTATGGGACAGAACGCTGCTGTGAGTTCAGATGTGAGGAGAGATATTGCTTCCATGTAGGTATCGTTGTAGGTATCATTGTAATTGATGTCTATTTTTAGCTCTGGGCAAGCACCACTGATGTACACCAGGGTATTTAAATATAGAGATTTTGGGGATTTATGTTTTCATTCCTGAATCATCTATTAAATTATGTAGTATTAAAAGTGCAATTTCAAATTTATTCTGTATCCTTAAAAGGAGCCTGCGGCAGATTGCACATTGCATTACCCAGATATAACAAAATATCATCTGTATACAGCAAAATAAAATTTCACGCATTGCCCACCATAATGGAAATTTCATTCTGTGACTGCCATATTTTCTGTGTTAAAGGTTCTAGTGATCAGGCAAACAACAGCAGGGAGAGAGGGTATCATTGGCCTGAGAAATGGCTTCCAGTTGATACTTGAGCGTTTTGTTGTATAAAATATTCAACATACAGTATTTTATTTGATCAACTGATGGTGTTTTTAGTTTAAGCTATATATCAGGCTTTGATTACACAGGTGAAATGTTTTTGAATCAATTAATTGTTAGTTTTGTGCTTTTCATGAGATTTCCCCCTTGCTCCTCAGGTAGTGTTCAATGTGTCTGTCGAGCTATCAGGATGCCTGTCGGGAGTTCGGCACTTCTCCCTCAAACCGGTGGGCTTACAGGACAGTTTGGAGGTGGAACTGGAGTCTCTTTGCTCGTGTGACTGCCCGCAGCTGCCTGAAGCAAACAGCAGCCAGTGCACCGAGGGCCAAGGGGCTTTCCAGTGCGGCGTGTGCGTATGTCAGCCGGGGTTCCTGGGAGCACACTGCGAATGCAATGAGGAGAGCGCTTTGTTGAGTAAATGCCTCGCAAACAATGAGTCTGAGATATGCAGTGGGCAAGGGCAGTGCTATTGTGGACAGTGTGTGTGTCATCCATCCAGCTTTGGCCGCATCTACGGGCCTTACTGCGAGTGTGACAATTACTCCTGTGTTCGTTTCCGCGGGGAGCTCTGTGGAGGTGAGCAATTACATATGAATGTTATGAATTATTCACACGTTCTCTTTTGTGGTGAGCCAGATGTTTGAATCCATTTGTGTTTTTTAGGCCACGGAGTGTGTGACTGCGGCAAGTGTCACTGTCAAAGTGGTTGGACAGGGGAGTATTGTAACTGCAGCACCAGCACAGAAGCGTGCATGTCGGAGGAGGGCACACTCTGCAGCGGCAGGGGGACATGTGAGTGCGGCCACTGTGTCTGCTCTGTGTCTGGGGCATCTGGGGACAAGTGTGAAAAGTGCCCAACATGCGGGGATGCCTGCAGCTCTGCAAGGTGAGAACACATTCGTGCCATCAGCTCTGAAAAGGTGAACAAGGATGTAACGTAGAGTTTTTTTTTTTGTCGGTTTTGCCTCTTTAATCGATGTTTCTTTACATGAATGATATAAGATGTTGACTCCTTATGCCACATGATCTGTCTGTTCTTTTGAGTTCAGGCATATCAGGTTCTGGTCCCCTTGTTCACATGTGTCTACACCTTCCATGTGACATCAAAAGACAATGGATAATGTCCCCAACACAGCACTAAGAGATTTCCTTTCTCCATTGTAAAGCAGCTGTCAGGGCCAGTGCAATTTGATACCACTGTTATAGAGGAGACAGGTGATAGAGAGTGAGTGAAGCCTTGGGAAAACTCTGATAAGTGACCAACACTGTGATTCCTCTGTACTCACTGTGTCAGTGATTGAAACCTCATTAAACCATAACCTCCCAAGAGGTCCTGTATTATCTCTGAGGTGAAACTCACGTTTTTTGTTTTTCCACATTTTGTTTTAACATCAGGACCTGTGTGGAGTGCCATCTCCAAGATAAGGGTGATGCTGAGTTTTGTGAAGAAAGGTGCAGCGTTCCGAAAATTTCCATCAACACAACAGCAGGTAAGTAAATCATCACCGCTGCTTTAAATGGAAGTATGGTTGCATGTAAAATCAGTCATAAAAATGTATAAACGGTGTTTGAATGTGATGCATTACATGAGAAGTCTTTGTATCTGTCAAACAATAACTATAATAACCAATGTTTGATTGAAGCTTGTAGAGCGATAAAATGATGAGATCATAACGTAACAATATAATTTCACTGATTGATTGATTAATGAATTATTGACCCACCCAAGTGAGGTGTTTGAAAAGGTTTAATCAACTCAAAAGTTACGTTAATTCTTCAGTCAATGCAGGAGGATGAAGGGGACCATTCATACTTATCAGCTCATATTATCTTATTGCAGATATACTGGAATTCATGTAAATGTCGGCCAATAAATAATAAGAAACTGCGATACAGAAAAGTTGACTTTAAAAAATAAAATACCTAGTATGTCTCTTGGTCACAGTTCCTTTAAAAAACAAAAGCTCTCTATCAAGATTGTTGTTTATGCTGAAAGAATGACTATTGATCACTATTAATTATAGGTATAAACTAAATAAAAAAATTCAAATACTGATATCAAACAAGACACATAAACACTTCTTAAAGGTCATGCCAGTACAGTGTGAAAATCATCTGGCGGATGCTTGAAACTTGTTACTCCATGTGTCACAGGGAATATTATGTCGCCCCTCCCCAAAGCATTTGTGGGCGGCATCTTAGTTAAAGGTTAAGGTTAAGGTTAAAGCTCCTTCAACAGGTCTTGCTCGATTCCTGGCGCAGGCCTTTGTTGCATGTTGTACCCTGTCCGTCTATCTCTAGCTTTCACACAGCATTTCTTCTTTATCGCTCACAATGTCACTGTCTGATAAAGTCCAAAGAAATAGCAGCCAAAACATTTACCAAATGCAACTTTTGTAAGGCAAAGAAATGAGACCAAATGCGTGCAAGCTGTCTCACAACGTCCATGTTTGGTTACAACTTGTCATCCCAGTTCCATTTTTTGATAACATCCATTAGCTGAGAAGTGAAGGGCGTTGTGGCATCCAAAGTTGAACTACACAGCTTCATGGAAGTGATTAACAAGGAGGAATTTTCAAACCAGTGCCTGCTTGCACCATGTGACAGCACTGACGACAAAATAGGTCTGTCAGTCTCTCTCTTTGGGACTACTAAGCAGGTTTCAGGTCTGTGCAGGTTCACTCTTATATCTTAAATCATCAAATATCTTAAATCAGTAGATACCCGGAATGTAAAAAAAACATAAGTCAAAAAAACATTTTCTATACAGAGAATGGTCAGGATCAAAAGCTGTTTTATGTGGTTTGTTTTTAATGTGCTAAAACACAAATTCAATGGTTAGATAAAATTAAAATTAAAACAAGCATCAAGGCTTTCATCCAGTAGTCTAAATCAAAAGTTTCCATTGATACGAAACTTCTGTCTCTACAGAATTAAGAATCTATGAATTTACACCGCAACCACAAAGTCAATTTTCTACATTTACTTTATTTACTATATTACTATATACATATACATATATATATACATATTACTATATACACAGTGATCACTCACCTGTTCTGTAAATGCTTCTTGTCGCTTGACTTTTGTTCTCTGGGCTCAGTGTTTTTAATAGTGGTATCAACACAGGGCCACGCTAAGTTTCCCCATGGGTCAGAGATCTGGAGGAATGCTGACCTGCATCGACTTGTGTGTCTCTCTGAAGCCCGAACCCCCCTCTCTAACACAACACCATCCACGTCCATTCAGGCAGCACCGGACAATGGGGAACATATTATTTACCTTGTCGTACAGGCAGCGCTATTGTAGCGCATGTGAATAGCCAAAGGACCTCGTCCTCCTTTACAGAAGAGATTATTTTAAACCTGCTATACTTGTGCAAGCTGAGAGGTATATCTGATTATCACAGAGGATTTTCAGGCTTCAGATGTGAAATACAATGGCGTGGTCCACACACACACATGCACACACACACCAGATTGTAGTCTTTGATATGGAAATCACACCGACAGCACAACAGAGTGGAGTGTATCCTTTTACATTCTCAGCACAAAGTCAAAAGGGAAGATGATATACGATGGATTCATCCCTTCCTTATGGATATGTATGTTCACATTTCCTCTCAGATTATAACAAGAGCCCTTCTATGCCGTGCACGCTGATGACGGAGAATGAGTGCTGGATCTCCTTTAATGTGGTAGGAGGTGAGACAGGGACCACTGCCTACAATCTCCAGATGTACGGTAAGCCTTGCAACAACACAGGACACAGATAAAACAAAAAAAGGGACATGAGTCTCATCTCATCCTCTGCCCTGGTCTCATCCTCTGTCCTGTCCCAGGTTGCCCAGAGCCTCCTAACATCCCTATGATTATTCTGGGAGTCTCCCTCTCCATAGTGTGTATCGGCCTCATCCTGCTGGGCGTGTGGAAGGTGCTGGTGTCGGTCCACGACCGTAAAGAGGTGGCCAAGTTTGAGGATGAGAGGGCAAAGGCAAAATGGCAGACGGTAAGAACTTGAAGTCATTTAAAGGATGCAGCTGGCGATATTTTTCTTTTTGTCAACAAATCCTGTGAAAACTCACACACACAAAAACAGCAATGAATTAAGCCCAATTAAACCTCCTTTCTTGTTTAAAAACTGGTCAAACACATTTATATTGAGCCAAAGGACACTCATCTGTTGTAATGTCAAAAAAAAAAAAATGTTGATTGTGTAACATGAAAAAATATTAATGAATTTTGTATGTTGGATAATCATGCTCTTATGTTTTGGAACCACAGTTCCCATCAGACTTGGGGAGAAGCAAACTGAAAATATAATGTTGCCAAATAAGCTCTTAGCAGTTCCTGTTTGCAATATACCCATAGATGCTAAATGAATACAGTCCTAAATTAATGTGATACTGAAGCAAACGCAAAAGATAAAAGTTAAAAAGATGAGTTTTTTGTTTTTTCTATGATTTCCACGCAGATTTTTTCGATTTAAATAAGCGGACTTTTATGACATAGGAGATGATTATATCCTGGGAAAGTGTATTGTGTCTATTTGTTCAGATTTGTAATTATTTTCAGCAAAATGCAACAATGAAGCGCCAGGGGTTTTACGTAAGACACATTAATCAGCTGTGTCCACATGATCCTTAATTATGATGAACATGGGCGCTGTAGTTCATTTTGAGTCAATCCCACATGAACCATCCTGTTGCCATACATATTTACTAGAGCAAGAAAATCTGCAGCTAAAAATAATCCACAACAAATGCAGTGTTTACTCCTGTTTCAGGAAAGTTTGTTTAAAACATTTTTAAAAGTTAAAAGTAAAAGTATGACTTATTTTTAAGATTTATATTTTGACTAGTAACAAATGAGCTCGGGGCTGAGAACCACAGTCAAGCTGGGGATGTTGGGAAGAGAGAAGGGAATAGTTGAAAATAACAAAAATCTAGCATATCCAAGCCTTGTGTGATTGACAATATTGTAATGGCCTTCTTGTGTTTGTGTTTTTCTTCAGGGCACCAACCCTTTGTTCAGAAGCTCAACATCTACTTTCAAAAATGTAACTTATAAGAGCACAGAGAGAGAAAAGATTATTACAGTGGATCACTACTGATGAAAAACTGGAGGCAATGCAAACCAACATCTGAGTGCACTTAAGTGTGTGTGTGTGTGTGTGTGTGTGTGTGTGTGAGAGAGAGAGAGAGAGAGAGAGAAAGAGTGAGACAGACAGAGAAAAATGTGTTTTTGTATGAATCTCTGTGTTGATTCAGAGATGTTAGGGCACAGTAGACAACACTGTGAACAGAGGAACACTACGTGATGAATTTGCTGCTGTAAAAGTGCACTGCCATTGTACTGTTAAACACTGCACTGTCCTGTTGCATGATCCTGCAAACTTACACAAATGTTTGTCTACTGTAACATGCAGCTCGGAAAGGAGGAGTCGACACTATGAGTGGTCTACTACTGATAAAAAAAATCTTTGTTTTTTATTCTAATTAATGTAAATATACAGGTGGATGATTGTGATTTTTTTTTAAATATTGTGTTCCTTGTTTTATTGTAAAGTAAGGCTGAGCCTTCAATGTTGATAATCGAGTTTTTTAGTGGCATGGCACGTTAATAAAGTTTTAAAAAGAGTTTTGACTTGGTGAAATTATACTTTTTACATTCTGGGTTAATTATATGTTACAATGTAGTTCTCAAATCCCCAGACAGATACTGATTAGACTGATTAGATTAGGCGCCGAGAAACCCAATTTAAAGTTTTTTTTGTTTACAGCGTCAGAGTGAACTCTGTCAAAGTCTGTCTTTCCAGGCCAAGGTTGGAAAAGTAAGTAAATAAATTTACTCAAGAACTGTGTTGAGGCGCTTTCCATTGTTTCCATTTTTGTCCTTCTCCACTCAAGGCTAGGTTACAAACTGAAATCGCATCAGGATCCTGCCTTATTATGTATTCTTGCGGCCTTGTCTTGTGGAAGGGATCTGTGTGAAAGGCTAACTCTAATATTGTGCTCATCAAGGATTGTGTTTCACTGGGATCAGATAGTATTCCAGTGCAAGAGTACTGCTCCCAAAACTGGTTAATCCAGCAAGTTTAGGTCTGATTAACAGTTAAGCAATTCTGTCAAGCTCTCTATACACTGTAGCTAAAACTAGCTCCACCTCATCCAGCTATAACATTGAAATACTGCTGACAAGGGCAATTAGGTACTTTTACTTTTTAATACCTGAAGAATATTTTCCTGATAATACTTACATACATTCTTTCACTTAAGTAACACAAATAAGTATTTCTACAGTGTGGTACTGGTACTTTCCTTTTTTTTTTTTTTAGGAAAAGTGGGACTGTGTTTTGGTAACTTTTTATATAGACTACAAGTTTCTTTTATATCTCATTAACATGAATGAAATTTAATTATAGAAATTATTTAAAGACAAGTTATATCTACATAAACTCCACCAGCCCGAAGAAGTAATTTTCTGGTTGAGTGGGACACAGAATTTAGGATTAAAACTTAACAATGCACAATATTTATTCGGATATCTTGGCTTAATCCAAACTTCATACATACATTAATTTAGCCGGTTAGTAGTATTGACAAGTAAAGTGCACTGCTACTAGAAATAATAGTAAACCATTTTCCATTTTTTTTTTGTTTATTTATTGACTCTAAATAAAGCTTATTATTTGTTATGGCTGTGTCCCAGTGAAAACAGACCGGAGCGGCAGGAATGCAGCCTCCAGACCGGGGAGCAGCTGCGGCTCTTCCGTCAGACGTGACGTCGCTGCTCCCCTGCTGAAAAACTTCCCTCGGCCTAAGTTTTCTATGAGGGAAAAACTGCGAGCCCTAAATACTCTCTCTGACCGGGAGCCTCGGAATGTGCGGACATTTGCACTCCAACATTGCACCCCGCCGTCGAAATGTTAATACAGTTGTTTCGTTGCATCGACTCCGTGGCTGTTGTGGCAACTATTTGTGTAACAGTGCTGCTGGCGAAAAGTTGCGTGTGTGTCACCGAGGAGGACGATGAGGTGCTGGAGAAAAAGCAGCTCATGGAGTTTTACAGTAAGTTGTTTCAGTCATCTGGGAGCAGCTGGATCCTTTTACTGAGCTCCTGCTGAATAAGTCCACAATACATCTTTTGGTAGGATGTTGTGTTCGGCTTTTTTTTTTTTTTTAACATGGTAGACATTATATAGCTGTACTGAATAGTGTTTGGGAAAAGCAGAACAATCATTACATGTTCTCATGGTGCTGGGGCTGATAGGTTGTTTTGAAATGAACGGATTCCTAAGTATTACAGTATTCCTCAAATCTGCTGGTGGCCTCTGGACCACAGTTTGAGCTCCACTGCTGCAGCAGGCTCACATTACCAACAGTGATTTTTATTATCTGAAAAGAAAAGGAAAAGAGAGACAGCTGTAAAAGCCTTTTCTCTCTGTGTAAGTTAAGGTGAATGTCAATGGCACTTTTGAAATTCAACCAATTGACTGATGAATAATGTCAAACAAGCACTGATTCCAGCTTCTCCTGTGTGAGGATATGCTGTATTATATCAATGCATGATGAGTTAGAGCGGAGACAACTGATGAATTGATTAGTCGATCAGCAGAGAATGAACCTGCATCAATTCTGATAATCGATTGATCATTACAGCGTAAACAAAATGGGCTCACTTTCTCTGGTTCCAGCTGTTTTTATCTGTTCAGTGTCATTGTAAATGAAATACTTTTGGACGGTTTGGTCAGACAAAACAAGCGAGTTGAGCATCACCTTGAGCTGAGAAATTGTGAGAAGAATAATTGTTTTTTCTAATATCTTATAGACTAAAACAATTGTTTCATCCATCAGATAAATAATCAAAAGATTATTCCAAAAAGAGAAATTAACTAATGGTTGTATTTCTAGTTTTCAAATTGTATCTCAAACCTTTTTAGAACAATTTTCCAACCATGTAAAATGTTAACAAGCAATGCTAATATTTAATTTAGATCTAGTAACATACACTTTGTGTTGTGCTTCTCCAGGATGCAATAGTTCCTGGATAATTCCTCCAGCTGTTTTCATCATTGCCATTTGTATACACTCAGCATACATCCTCTGTTTTGTTAGTATCCGCTTACACTAAGAAATGTGTTTGTATTGGAGGACAAAAGGTTCCCGCAGGCTTTCATCCAGCATCAATATTGCTCCAATTTGGTGGAGAAACATTCAATATATCTGTCTATCTATAAGTATATATAATATAAACAATCTTTGCAGCTCACTGATGTGGTGTCATCATACTGTTTATTAATCTATACTCTTTTTGCTCATCCTCCCCTGTCTGTGGTACACACTCACATCATTTCCTCCCATGTATCTCGAACCCCTCCTCTCTTCATACTTCCCCCTCCTCCTCCTCCTCTTCTCCTCGTCCCTCACCCATCTCTTTCCAGAAAAAGGCATCTTTATCCTGGAGAGTGAGCCGCTGAAACGCTGCGTCACAGTGGATCGCTCCAACCTGGTGCTGGAGGACTGCGAGCGGCCAACACGCCGCATGCTGTGGAAATGGGTCTCCCGACATCGCCTCTTCAATTTGGGCACCAGCACGTGTCTGGGCCTCAACATTTCGGACACGACGCAGCCTCTCGGCACGTTCGAGTGCGACATGGCTCTCCCCATGCTGTGGTGGCGCTGCAGTGGAGGCATGCTGTACGGGGCGTCCCAGTGGCGGGTGGCCGTGGCTGGACGTTTGTTGGTAGTAAAAAAAAACTCTTATCATGAGTGGAAAAGGTACAACACCCCTAGAGAAGGACCCTGTTCACATCCATATGAAGGTAAACACCTAAAATATCATGCAACAGCTCATTGGTGACATCACAGCAGTCATCTTAGATACTCTGTAACTCGTCCACACAGGATATTTGTGTTTTTAAACTCTGCTGGGTGTGTTTTACTTGCAGATATCCACACTTTGTTGGGGAATGCACATGGCATGCCCTGCGCTTTTCCCTTTAAATACAACAACAAATGGTACTCTGAGTGCACGACTGAGGGCCGTGAGGACCATCTTCCGTGGTGTGCCACCACCACTCGCTATGATCAGGCTGAAAGATGGGGCTTCTGTCCTATGCAAGGTAAAACACAGACACACGGAAACCTCCTGTGTCAAAATTGTAACGCCCCCAAGAACAAAGCGAGGTCCAGAATGTAATGATTTTCTGGGTTATACTGTGGAATAGAATTGACTGACCTAAGCCGAGCCCTGAGCTCAAACCCATCCGTCACCTCTGGGATGAACTGCAACTGCAGCTGTGAGCCAGTCACCCAGTATCAGTGCTCCACTTCAATAGCCCTGTGGTTGAGGATGAATTCCCTGCAGCCAAGTCCCAAAGTTTCTGGAAAACTTTTCCAGAAGAGTGGAGGCTGTCAGCAACATATCCATGTCCATGGGTTTGAAAGGAATCAAACATCACATGGGGTGTAATGGTTGGGTGTCCACTTACTTTCTTTTAAATTTCTCCTAGGGCGTCTGGTGAACCAGTTGTTAAGATGCATGTTTCATACACCTACCCACACCTGGAGACATATGCATACATGTCACCTGTTACCTCTTACTGCCCTTTTAAATCACAGCTTTATTCACAGATTCCAGTTGTGAGCACTTCTGGGAGTCAAACCAGGAGCTGCGTGCCTGTTACCAGTTCAACCTGTACACCATCCTAACCTGGAGTCAGGCGCTGTCAACCTGCCAGGCCCAAGGTGGAAACCTGCTCAGCATCACCAGCCTGGCAGAGCACAGGTACATCAGAGGTAGGCATCTGGTAGAAAACACGCACAGAGACGATAAAGCGAGTCTGATGTTGATATTTTTCTTGCTCAGTGAGACACAAGGTCTGCGCAGATTCTTCATTTATACTGCTTCAAATTTGTTTTTTGCCTTGCCCTCCCTCCTTTTCAGTTTTTTTATTTCTTCTTCTTCTTTTTAAATCCTGCAGTTACATGTGAGACTACCTGATAGTTTACCAGTAGCCTGTTTTCCACTGAAATCAGACAAGATTTGACATTTTATACAACATTCATGTTTTTATATCTTATGATAGATCGACTGGCAAGTGTTGGGACGATGGTGTGGATCGGGCTGAATCACCTGAAGGATGGTCTGGGGTGGCAGTGGTCTGATGGAGCACCTCTGTC